TTTGATTTTTTACTTTTATGCAAGGAAATTTTTATTGATCAAGAATATTAATTAAAAAAATAAATATACTCTTTTAAAATGGAATCAATTAAATATTTTTTTGAATTTTTGAACCGTGAAAAAATATGTTTTATTTCAATTAATTTAAAAATAATAAAATAACATAATTAAAAATAAAATTTTACTAATATTTATAAATAGGATGAAATGAGCTTATATATGTTTATAACTTTAAATGATTAATGCCTTGTTCCTTTAGTTAGTAAGAAAATAGGATTATTGGTAGTATTCTATACTTAATAATTTAATGGTTTTTTTTTAAAAGACTTTAGCTCAATAAACTATCTGTTCGAATATAGATTTAATAACACTGATTTATATTATGATGAACAATATAATATATTATTAGGAGTTACAGGTAAGCTTGCATAGGTTAATTTAATGAATATTCCTGGCATTTAATAACTGTTTATCTACTAATGCGTTAGTGAGTTTGAAAATAATTCAGTTTACTTTTATAAATAAGAAACAAGCCTCATTATAGCAGACAATACCCCTATTTTATATTTATTCAATTACCTCACTTAAAATACTACAGAAGTTAAAATATAAATCCGTAATATTATAGGTATGCTGATGGATGAAAGCAAAAAAGTTGTTTTTGTATACTCAAATTAATTTATTCAAATGTATTAATTTCCTAGCATGTAATTCATTGAAACAATTACATTATAAAACTATAACATTACATCAATTATACAGGTTTTTCTAAATACCTAATTAAATTTAATTATAGCTTAGACATCTACCCACATTATATCTTTCGACTTAACAGAGACTGTGTATGCAAGTGAAACTTATCTTCTATAATACTAAAAAAATTAAAATTTATATCTAGGTTAGCAGTTCTAAGTTGGCTATAATATTGTAAACTTTTCCCTGAATCTTTTCAAAAATACTTAATTAGTGGACACTTTATTGTTTGAACCTTCTTTTTACAACATATTTCCATATCTTTCAGAGCTAATTTTGATAAAAGATAGCTTATTCATATATA